GGATAAAAATTCAATGTCATAAATTTAGTGTCTAAAAATATTCAGATTCTAATGAGACTATTTTTCTTCCATAAAAATCTGTCAAACTTTTGTTTCTTCAAACATTAAACTGGTCAAAAATAAAAGCCTGTCTGGAGATGCCGGGGATTGAACCCGGGGCCTCATACATGCAAAGCATGCGCTCTACCACTGAGCTACATCCCCACGTGACAGTGCCCACGGACACGAGCAGACATGTGAGCACGAGCTTCAACTGATACTGACTGCACCTGCACGGTTTGTTGTGTGGGACTGAAACATTCACCTGAAGCAGGAACACATCCCACGGTTCGGAGGACCATCACAACTGGTCCGGTCCGGTCCGGTCCGGTCCGGTCTGGACCCACCAGCAGGTGTCGCTGCCGCCCTTAGATCAGTTGATGTTCAGGTGTGACAGCACCGACTCGACCTGTCAGGTGAACGGCTCGGTCAGGTGGAATGTATTTGGATGTTTGTGACGTCAAGCTGGCGAGCAGCCAATCAGGTGGCTCCAGGCTCGCCGCGCTCTACCTGCGGTACCTGTGCAGGTGAGGCCAATGGAAGTTGTGTGAGGAGGTGACATGAGGTGTTATCCTGTCAGGCTGGGAGCTCTGCTGGCCCTGCTGGCTGTTCTCACCGTCTCCTGGATCCGCTCGGTTCCGGGGCGTCCAGGTGAGTGGACGGGTTCGGTTCCGGGGGCTCCTGGTGAGTGGACGGGTTCGGTCAGATGGCTCGGTTTGTGTGCTGTGAGCTTGTGGTCCCGGTGTGTCCGGTCCCTGAGCAGACATGTTCTGGACCTGTCCGCACCTGAGCAACAGGTGATGTTGGTTCCGAAGCCCAGAGAACCTGAACCATTTAAACTGACCTGATTATGAGTCCTGCAAACATTTCATTCACAAAACTTTAACTTTAGCTTTAAGATGAAAAACATGAAAATAACTGAAATATAAGTTTTAGTTAATTGACTGTAATATTTTCACTGAAACCATCATTGATCAAGTTTTAATCAGAGCTGCAGTAAGTTTAAATACTTTAATGTACTTAAGTACACGTTTTGGTTCTGTACTTTACTTGAGTAATTATTTTTCAGCACACTTTTACTTCTACTCAATGTTGAATAAGGGTCTTGAGTAAAAGTTCAAGTATTTTACCATAAAATTACTTTGGTAAAAGTTCCAGTCTCCTCTAAAATATTACTAAAGTAATAACCTTAAAGTATCAGATATGGTTTATATA